TATTGGTATTGTTCTGTCACATGTTCTGTCCCCCTTGTAATGCACAGCGCTAAGCGAACTACTGGCGCTTTATAAATACTGTATAATAATAGTAAAATAATAATTTTAGAAAGCTAGCATAACAAAAAACACGGTCAATTAACTGGGTGAGAATATGCTTCAAAGAGACCCTACCAAACCATTCATTTCAATGACAATCTTACCGTGAAATTATTAACACTTTTAACACTTTATAAAATCCCTTCCCTCTTCCCCCAGCAATTGCAAAAAATGTTATGTACAGTAGGTAGGGGAGGGGAGGAGGAGCTGAGCTAGAAAAGACAGTAGTTAAAGGATCCCAGAAGAAGAGTGCAAGGAGGAAGGGGGCTTTGCCAGGTAATTAAATGCTTTTAGGAGTTTATCACCTAGCAAGTTCAGAGGCTTATTACAAGCCAATAAAAAAAAAAAAAAAATAAAAAAGAAAAATGCTGCAGGTAAGGATTTGATACTGTATATATTGTTTCTCTGTGACTTGATATGCACTTTTAAGTTGATGGCAGGGTCTCTTTAACACAAACCAGCGTGTACCCCCTGAAACTTTTACTAAAGCTGTATAGTGCAAAATCTGGTGTAGCTCTACACAGAAACCAAGTTTTTTTCAAAGCTTAATTGAACAAGCTGATTGGCTACCATGCACAGCTGCACCAGATTTTGCACTCTCCAGTATTGGTTAATCAACTCATTTGTCTCCTTCATCACTGAATCCTGATGCTTTTCAATAAATACAGGCCTTACTATTTTAAATAAACCATTTTATTCTGTACACGATAAACAAATAAACAGTTTTATGTTAATAGTTAGTATTTAATTTTTTTTTTTTTTTTCCGATTAATTCTAGGTTTGGTACAGTCAAAAAGGATTCCACACATTGCCAGCTTATCTTAATTATCTTAATAACATTATACTGTGGAAAAATCTGCCTGCTGATTCCAACTGGAAACAATATGGTAAACAGTTTATCTTCTTATCATTACTATAGTAAAAACAGGGATGTGTAAAATTCAGTTTCCATTTCCCCAGGTTTGGCAAAAACAGGAAGATACGGGCAGAATGTTTCCATTTGGCTAAATGCATTGGAATCAATTGGAAATGCAAAATTAGGGTAGCCTCATTAGCCATTTTATTTTTTTCCACATATCCCTAAATCACCTTCTTTCAGACCCTGTATTATTTGCTATAATTTCCTATAATGTTTTACAATTTTTATTTAAAATAATAAGATATTATGTTAAATAAAAACTATTTAGTAGCTATAAACATATTTGCAAGAGGACTGCTTTTATTGCTTATAAAATCCTCTGTCACGTACCTGACCGGAGGCTGTAATAGAGAGAGGGCTCCCCTTACGGCTAAGTGCAGTGCGCCCCTGGAGGTGGAAACAGGAGGTGCAGTGCCCAAAGAAGCATGGGTTGCCAGTGGTGTTGCTGCTTGGAAATGCCTGATGAGATGGAACCAGTGGGTGCTCCAGTTGCAGGATGCGTTTCTCCAGAGAACATGTGGATCCCGGAGGATGGGTAGAGTAGTCAGTAGCCAGAGCCAGGATCAATTTGGAACAGCAGACAGGAGCAACATCAGGATCAAACCAGGATCATACACAGAGTAGTAGCAGACAGGAGCAAGGTCAGGATCAAGCCCGGGTCATACACAGAGCAGCAGCAGACAGGAGCAAGGTCAGGATCAAGCCGGGGTCATACACAGAGCAGCAGACAGGAACAAGGTCAGGATCAAGCCGGTTGGTAATGGGTAATCAGCAGTAGGAACAGGAGCAATCACTAAGCAGAGCTTCAGTCCTTATAAAGGCCACTGAGTGTCAGCAATTAGTGCACCCTGCCTGTGCTGGTGTGTTTTCGTGCACAGGAATGTTTTACTAAGTGTCGCACGCCTATGCACATGCGCACTTCTTTGCGTGAATTGGGGTGGCCATATTGCACATTGGCGCATTTGCCCGGGCTTCCTCGTCTTTTCCTCTGACATCCTCCAACTGAGATAAGACAATATCAATGTGTAAATATATGTAGTCGGTATTAATGCTCAAATTAAAATATTGCATTTTTTTTTTAGGAATAACAGTGTTTAGCAAGCCATATCAAAAACACAATGATGGATGAAGATAAGATGTAAGTACTGCTGATCTATCTTTCCCAATCTTACTACATAGCAATAACAAAAAAAAAAATATATATATATATATATATATATATATATACACACAGGTGAAACTAGAAAAATTTGAATATCATGCAAAAGTTCATTTATTTCAGTGCAGCAACTTAAAAGGTGAAACTAATATATGAGATAGACTCATTACATGCAAAGCAAGATAGTTCAAGCCGTGATTTGTCATAATTGTGATGATTATGACTTACAGCTCATGAAAACCCCAAATCCACAATCTCAGAAAATTAGAATATTGTGAAAAGGTGCAATATTCTCGGCTCAAAGTTTCCCACTCTAATCAGCTAATTAGGCCATAACACCTGCAAAGGGTTCCTGAGCCTTTAAATGGTCTCTCAGTCTGGTTCAGTAGGAATCACAATCATGGGAAAGACTGCTGACCTGACAGTTGTGCAGAAAACCATCATTGACAACCTCCATAAGGAGGGAAAGCCTCAAAAGGTAATTGCAAAAGAAGTTGGATGTTCCCAAAGTGCTGTATCAAAGCACATTAATAGAAAGTTATGTGGAAGGGAAAAGTGTGGAAGAAAAAGGTGCACAAGCAGCAGGGATGACCGCAGCCTGGAGAGGATTGTCAGGAAAAGGCCATTCAAAAGTGTTGGGGACTTTCACAAGGAGTGGACTGAGGCTGGAGTCAGTGCATCAAGAGCCACCACACACAGACGGATCCTGGACATGGGCTTCAAATTTCATATTCCTCTTGTCAAGCTGCTCCTGAACAACAAACAACGTCAGAAGCGTCTTACCTGGGCTAAAGAAAAACAGACCTGGTCTGTTACTCAGTGGTCCAAAGTCCTCTTTTCTGATGAGAGCAACTTTTTCATCTCATTTGCAAACCAAGGACCCAGAGTATGGAGGAAGAATGGAGAGGCACACACTGCAAGATGCTTGAAGTCCACTGTGAAGTTTCCAGTCTGTGTTGATTTGGGGAGCCATGTCATCTGCTGGTGTTGGTCCACTGTGCTTCATTAAGTCCTGGGTCAACGCAGCCGTCTACCAGGAGATTTTGGAGCACTTTATGCTTCCTTCCGCAGACGAGCTTTATGGGGATGCTGACTTCATTTTCCAGCAGGACTTGGCACCTGCCCACACTGCCAAAAGCACCAAAACCTGGTTCAATGACCGTGGGATTACTGTGCTTGATTGGCCAGCAAACTCACCTGACCTGAATCCCATAGAGAATCTATGGGGCATTGCCAAGAGAAAGATGAGAGACATGAGACCGAACAATGCAGAAGAGCTGAAGGCCGCTATTGAAGCATCCTGGCCTTCCAGAACACCTCAGCAGTGCCACAGGCTGATAGCTTCCATGCCACGCCGCATTGAGGCAGTAATTGCTGCAAAAGGGGCCCAAACCAAGTACTGAATACATATGCATGCTTCTACTTTTCAGAGGTACGATATTGTTCTATGTACAATCCTTGTTTTATTGATTGCATGTAATATTCTAATTTTCTGAGATTGTGGATTTGGGGTTTTCATGAGCTGTAAGCCATAATCATCACAATGATGACAAATCACGGCTTGAACTATCTTGCTTTGCATGTAATGAGTCTCTCTCATATATTAGTTTCACCTTTTAAGTTGCATTACTGAAATAAATGAACATTTGCACCATATTCTAATTTTTCGAGGTGTGTGTGTGTGTGTGTGTGTGTGTGTGTGTGTGTGTGTGTGTGTGTGTGTGTGTGTGTGTGTGTGTGTGTGTGTGTGTGTGTGTGTGTGTGTGTGTGTGTGTGTGTGTGTGTGTGTGTGTGTGTGTGTGTGGTGTGTGTGTGTGTGTGTGTGTGTGTGTGTTAGCAATGTGTGACAAATGACAAACCACTAATATGATCTTTCTATCTACAGGCAGCCAAATATAAGTTGTAGAAAATGAAGCATTTGCTGCTACTTTAAAGATCACTATCATGTAAATGTTTTACACAGATTGCTGTATACATTTAATGTCACAAATTCTTTTTTCACATGCTTTTATTTATAGCTTTCCTCATTTATGCATACAGGCCAAGTGTCCAGCAAAAGGGATATTAACAGAGATTGGAACAAACTATAATCTATACCATTTGATATCCATGAGTATGTAGAGAATAACATAAATAATAGCATGGGAAATGTGTAAGATAACTAAAGATACCGAATACTGTCATTACATGCTCTGACCCCCTACAGTCATCTTGAATGCTGTCATCACATGCTCTGACCACAGAATGTTGTCAGAATACAATATTTTTCTAGTTATTGATCCTACCACTGCAGAAATTGCCATAGATGGGTAGATCTTTCTGATAGTTACTGTATGTATACTGTCTGCCCTTGTGCCAGTACAAATCTTCTCTCTGACACTGTTGAAGATCACTTTAAAGCGCATGGAAAAATGTTGAAATACATGTAAAAATATTTCTTCAATTTTATGGTTTTACTTTAACTTTCACAGGATTCTGAGCCACCATTTTTTTCTTCTTGAGTTACTTTATTGTTAACAGGATACTGTTGACACCTTTCCTCAACACCACAATGAAAATCTTGAAGCTCAATTCCATGTTTAATTAAACATTCCTAACTCCCTTTACCATCAATTTCCTTAACATTCCAAAAAAAAAAAAAAAAAAAAAAAAAAAAACACTCACCTGCAAACCTTCATCAAAATGGTACTTTGCCTCCCTTGCTTCCTCCTGGTCCTCTATTCCAGGGTTTCTCAACCTTTTTTCAGTCAAGGCACCCTTTAAAATTATGGACAGTCCCGAGGCACCCATTAAATTATGGACGGTCCCGAGGCACCCATTAAAATTATGGACGGTCCCGAGGCACCCTTTAAAATTTTGGACAGTCTTGAGGCACCCGTTAAAATTATGGACGGTCCCGAGGCACCCATTAAAATTATGGACGGTCCCGAGGCACCCATTAAAATTATGGACGGTCCCGAGGCACCCTTTAAAATTATGGACGGTCCCGAGGCACCCATTAAAATTATGGACGATCCCGAGGCACCCATTAAAATTATGGACGGTCCCGAGGCACCCTTTAAAATTATGGACAGTCCCGAGGCACCCATTAAAATTATGGACGGTCCCGAGGCACCCTTTAAAATTATGGACAGTCCCGAGGCACCCTTTAAAATTATGGACAGTCCCGAGGCACCCATTAAAATTATGGACGGTCCCGAGGCACCCTTTAAAATTATGGACGGTCCCGAGGCATCCTTTAAAATTATGGACGGTCCCGAGGCATCCTTTAAAATTATGGACGGTCCCGAGGCATCCTTTAAAATTATGGACGGTCCCGAGGCACCCTTTAAAATTATGGACAGTCTTGAGGTACCCCTAGACTGTCCATAATTTTAACAGGGCACCCCATTCTAAAATGTGAAAAACTGTTCTAATAGTTTTACATAATGCAGCAACATCCACAGATGTAGGACACCCAACATTAGAGGTAATTTATTCTTCCAAAGCAAATACACTTTTGCACACTGGTACTGACTAGTTTTTCAGTGTTTCTTTCCTCCCTCAGTTTTTATCCATCACTGAGCTAATGTGACCCCAGCATGAAACCCCTGAATAAAAGGGTCAGGGGTGGGTCAAACCAGGATGCTTTGCAGGCAACCGACATACTCCTTATCAACTAATGAAACTAATAATGTCATTGATTGTCAGGACGCCGGTGGCTAGAAGGCTGTAATGGTGCACAATGAAAGCCTGTGCCTTTGTGTAACTAAAAAGTAGGCTTGTTCCACCCACTGGCTTGTATACAAGTTTTCTGCAATTTTTAGACATATTGCCAAGGCACCCCTGAAGTAACCTTAACCACTTGCCCTCCTGAGGATTTACCCCCCTTAATGACCAGGCCTCTTTTTGCTACTCGGCGCTGCACTAATTCAACTGATAATTGCGCGGTCATGCAACGCTGCACCCAAATTACATTTACGTCCTTTTTTTCACACAAATAGAGCTTTCTTTCAGTGGTATTTGATCACCTGTGCGCTTTTTATTTTTCACACTGCAATCAAAAAAAGACCAAAAATTATGAAGAAAAACAGTATTTTTTACTTCCAGCTATAAAAAATATATAGTAAACTCAAAGTTGGTTATAAATTTAGGCCAAAATGTATTCTGCTCCATGTTTTTGGTAAAAAATCCCAATAAGTGTATATTGATTGCTTTGTGTGAAAGTTATAGCGTCTACAAACTATGGTATAGATACTGCAATTTACGCCATTTTTTTGCTATACAGCGCTGCGCTAGTTTAACGGACAATTGCGCGGTCATGCAATACGGTACATAAATGAAATTTACCTCCTTTTTTTCCTACAAATTGAGCTTTCTTTTGGTGGTATTTGATTGCCTGTGCGTTTTTTATTTTTTGCGCTATAAAAAAAAAAAGGCTGACAATTTTGAGGAAAAAAAAACAATATTTTGGACTTTTTGCTATAAAACATGTCCAGTAAAAAAAAAAATGTAAAAATCAAATTTAGTCATAAATTTCTGTCAAAATGTATTCTGCGACATGTCTTTGCTAAAAAAAAAACCCAATATGTGTAAATTAATTGGTTTACGGGAAAGTTATAGCGTTTACAAATGGCGGGAAAGATACTGGGATTTTTAATGTTTTTTTTATACTAATAATGGCGGCGATCAGCGACTTATGGCGGGACTGCGGCGGACATTCTGACACTGGGGGGAAACTGACTTCGGGTCACTGACATCCCCAATGACACCAATACAGTGATCAGTGCAAAAAAAAACTGACACTGTACTAATGGCACTGGAGAGGAAGGGGTTAACTTTTTTATTTACTGAAAGGGTTAACTGTGTGAGGGGAGTGTTTTTTACTAGGGGGCGGGGTGTGTACTGCAGGGGAACACGCAGATCCGGAGAGATAAACTCTTCTCTCCGGATCAGCATGTCAGGAGCTGACAGGGGACTGACAGAAAGCACGGCTGCAGTGTAAACACTGCAGCCGTCCTCTCTGTCAGTGATTGCCGCTAATTGCCAGGACATGGTAGGTAATGATCGGCCGCAACCCGGCAACTGACACCCGCGGTCACGATCGGCGGGAGGGGTAGGGCGGACACGCGCCTCCTACCTGTTTTGCAAACGCACGTTTTAAAACATGGTTTTGCCCAGCCGTGCCGACCTGCCACCGTATTTCTACAGTAGTTGGTCGGCAAGAAGTTAAGGTACCCCAGGGTGCCTGGGCACCCTGGTTGAGAGATGATGTCCTCTGGACATGGAATATTGGGCATATATAACACAGAAATGATGTGTGTGGGCTTTAGCACATTAGCAGACTGGCTTTGGGCTACAAATTGTGTAATCCAGAGGAATACAGGGAGTGGAACTATGACTGGTTGTTAAGGAAAAAGTGACTGCAACAAACACAGTCTTAGTTTCATTAAACACAGGAGTCAAAATTGTATTTATTTTTTATTAATTATAAATAATGTCATGGAATGGGAACAGGAACACAGACAATCGTCAGAATCCTGTGCTAAAAGGCACAGTAGAAGATGTAAGATTTGTCCAATCTTTTTAAATACTTTTTTTTTTTTTTTTTTTTTAGTATTTGCTTTGCATTGACATGTAATAAATAGCCAATGAATTCAAAGAACCATAAACAGTTCACCTAGACACATAGGGGTTTATTTACTAAAGCTGGAGAGTGCAAAATCAGACTCCCTTCTGGATAGAAACCAATCAGCTTCTAACCTCAGCTTGTCCAGTGAAGCTTTGGCAATGAAACCTGGAAGCTGATTGGTTTCTATGCAGAAGTGAGTCTGATTTTGCACTCTCCAGCTTTAGTAAATAAACCCCATAATGTTATTCAAAAATATAAATTATATTTAAATGAAATACAACATCTCAAGTGAAGCACTTTCATGGGTTTATAGTGTAAGCGCAGACAGAAGCGCAATATGGCCTCAAATTCTCACTATAAAGCAGATAATATTGCTGTTTTGATGTAAGGATACTAGCCCACTGATCTGGTGTAGACTGGACTAATCAGGGGCGGACTGACAAGTTATGGGGCCCCCGGGCAATAGGGGATCATGAGGCCTCTGTGTCCTTGCCCAAACTCAAAAAAGCCTATGAAAAAGGTACCAGGGGCATCTCATGGGGCCCATTACTGACCCTGGGCCCTCGGGCAGTGCCCAAGTTTCCAAATGGTCAGTCCGCCCCTGGGACTAATACATTTTCTTCTTAAACTGTAACATTATAATGTTTCAAAAGACTATTCCACTTATTAAAAAAAGTAGTCTTTAACCACTTGCCTACCAGGCACTTATACCCCCTTCCTTACCAGGCCAATTTTCAGCTTTCAGCGCTGCCGCACTTTGATTGACAATTGCGCGGTCATGCAACATTGTACCCATATGAAATTTTGACCATTTTTTTCTCACAAATAGAGCTTTCTTTTGGTGGTATTTAATCGCCACTGGGCGCTTTACTTTTTGCGCTATAACATAAAAAAGTGCAAAAAATTTGAAAAAAAAAAAGTTTCTTTGTTTCTATTATAAAATTTTTCAAACAGGTATTTTTTCTCCTTCACTGATGTGCGTTGATGAGGCGGCACTGATGGGCACTGATAGGCGGCACTGATGGGCACTGATAGGCAGCACTAAAGGGCACTGATATGCAGTACTAATGAGGTGGCACGGATAGGCGGCACTGATAGGTAGCACTAATGAGGTGTCACGGATAGGCGGCACTAATATGCAGCACTGATAGGCGGCACCGATAGGTGACACTGATGATGGGTACTGATAGATGGCACTGACTGGCATCACTGCTGGGCACTGACTGGCACAACCGCTGTGCACTGACTGGTGGCACTGACTGGTAGCACTGCTGGGCTGCACTGGTGAGTGGCACTGGTGGGCAGCACTGGTGGGTGGGCACAGGTGGGTGGCACTGGTGGGCACAGGTGGGTGGCACAGGTCGGTGGGCACAGGTGGGTGGCACTGCTGGGCACAGGTAGGTGGCTTCTGGGCAGTGGGCACAGGTAGGTGGCACTGCAGAGTGGCACAGGTGGGTGCACTGCTGGGCACAGATGGGTGCACTGCTGGGCACAGGTGGGCGGAGCTAGTGGACGCACTGCTGGGCACAGGTGGGCGGAACTTGTGGGTGGCACTGCTGGGCACCGATCATCAGGGCACTGATCATCAGTGGCCCTGATGATCGGTGCCGATCCTCGCTCTGACATCTGCCGGTTCTCGGCAGTACTTTCCTCACGATCTGATAGCGTGAGGAAAGTGCAGCCGAGAACCGGCACTTGCATTTTCCTGTGATCAGCGTGTCATTGGACACCGCTGATCACGTGGTAAAAGGCCGGTATGATCGGCCTTTTACTACATCTCGTGATCAGCTGTGTCCGTAGGACACAGCGATCACGGAGATCGCTGGGTGGGCGCCCCCTGGGGCGCGCAGGAGAGCGCGTTCTGGGAGGACGTCATATGACGTCCACCCAGAACTGGCCGGCCGCAGTGAAGCCGTCATTCGGCTATCTGCGGTCGGCTACTAGTTAAGCTTCAGACAATGGACTTTGCTTTGACCATGTGTGTCAAACACAAGGCCCCCGGGTCGAATCCGGCCCCCCGAACTATTTCATGTGGCCCTCACACCTCTCCTGAAGCTGCAGCACCCCCCCTCATCTCTGCCTCCCCTGGTCTCAGCAGACCCTAGCAGCTGCCTCAAGCCCTCCTCTGGTCCTCCTCCAGACCCTGCGCTTTCTGCTCCCTAGATGCAACTGGCGCTTTGAGGGCAACTGTAATGCTGATGCGGCCCTCAATGAAATTGAGTTTGACACCTCTGGCTTAGACTGCCCTCTGCTGCAAGCAAGAGGAAGCATTTCTTTATCTATCCTCACAGTGGTCAGACCACAACATTGTAACTTTGTTTAGGCAACATTCAGAGTTAGCATTTACATTCTGCATTCTAACAAATCTCTAACACATATCAGACCCTTGTTGCAGTGTTTTGTGACTCACTAAAAACATGGTTCTAGAAAGAAAAGCAAATTAAATGGTCAGGGGGAGTTCTGTAACCTCTGTGAGAGGTAATACATACCCTTAATACTTGCCTATGCTTTTCTTAGCACATGTACACTTAACATGAACACATACACTTGGCAACAAGAGACACTATGTAGCATCCATAAGTCAGTTATGGTCATATAGAATTTGATAAGTAGGGTAATAGACACGTTTATCTTCTTTCTCTCCACTGCTTTCCTTATTCTGCCTTCGTTGTCATTTTTCGTGTTCTGCTATTTTTATTCTATCATTACTTTTTTTATTTTCTATAGATTTACTATAAACTTTTTCAAAACTGTTACTTGTTCTACAATGAATTGCAAATAAATATGGAATACATATACTTTGTTTTATATTTTATGATTCATCTGAAAAATATAAGTACTATTCAGATAATTCTCATATTCATAATTGGAGACCTTTTGGGTAATTTATTTAACCTCCCTAGCGGTCTGATTATGTCCATATTTCTGTGCTCAAAGCGGTACATTTTTGTTGCATGGAAATATGTCATTTTTTTTTGTAGGCTGTAATTTTTAGGAATAACTCACTGAATTCTGTCCGAACAAGAGTCTAGTAAACATCCCGGGTATGATAAAACTTGAAACACAAAATCATAAATTATAATTTAATAAATAATCATAAAAATAATAATATAATAATAATAAATGTAATTCAATAATATAATCAATCCAAAAACACTGAAATTTGAAATATAGCGCCAAGTTCGCACATCACTGAGCAAAGTCGCAAAATCGTTTTCAGTGTCTGATGAGGAATTTCCCCCACGAATCATCACTCAATTCTGCAAGTGGTTCTGATTTACTATCGCTGTTCTCTAGCCGGTCTAAAACCGCTTTTGACCTAAAGGGATGCTTTTTGGACGCCATGGACGTTTCTCAGTTTCCAGGCAGAAGGAAGAGTAAAAGTGCAGGCAGGGCGCAGGACAAAGCACTCGGGACAAAATGTATGTGAAATGGGTTGATACAGTAATGTTATACTATGTGATTTTAGTGATTTTAGTGAATGTCACTTTTTGTCATTTTCAAATTTCCCGACGTTCCGTCCCCCGTACGTCCCGACGCTCGCAGGGGACAGAACCCAGATGACAGATGCCGGCATCCGCCGGATTACATTGCCGGGGACACTGCAGGAGGGACATCGCGGGAGCGCAGGACAAGGTAAGTGAAGAACAGATGCCGGAGCAGCGCCGCATGGTATTCCCGAGTGTAGCTCAGGGTTACCGCTTGTGGTACTGAAACTTTACCCCGAGCTACACTCGGGAATACCGCCAGGGAGGTTAAGGCAAATAGGCTGTTTACTTTGCAAAAGAAGTTGCACTTTGCAAGGGAATTTGCCCAAGTTCTTAGTGCGTGAGGTGAAGCTCTGTTGACTTCCATTATCCAATATTGTGCAAACAAAAATTATTTTTATTATATTATATATGTTTATTGTATTATATGCAAAGTGAAATGTCACTACATTCAGTAATTTCAGTAGCAAATTCCCTTGCAAAGTGCAAATTAAACTCGCTTGCCTTTATTAAATCAACCCCTGTCTATAAATGACAAACATTACGGTAGCCTTGATGTAAGTAAACGGTTGCTTTTACATTCTTTCAAAACCTCTGGCAGAGCTGCACACTAAATCTACAATCATAAATATAGCTTTTTGTATCTCCATAAATATTTCCATTTTTCTCTACAGATTGGAAAATGTTCGACAATGTGGAGTAGCTTTCTGCATAACATTAGGCTTTTCCATACTGACTGCCTCTATTGGGAGCGGCATTGTGAAAGACTACCAATCAGGGGCAAAATATTTACAGCACATCAGTGGACTGGATTATAAAATCTACTGGATTTCACATTTTATACATAGCATGGTTGGTCTTTTATTTTAACTGTGAACATGTATTTCAGTTTGGTCACATCATTATTATTATTATACCGGATTTATATAGCGTCAACAGTTTGCGCAGCACTTTACAATATAATGGAGGCATTACAATACATTTCAGTACAGAAGGAATAGGAGCAGGGGCTGACTGACCATTTGGAAACTCGGGCACTGCCCGAGGGCCCAGGGTCAGTAGGGGGCCCCATGAGATGCCCCTGGTACCTTTTTCATAGGCTTTTTTGAGTTTCGGCAAGGACACCATATGAATTTTTTACCATTTTTTTGAGACAGATAAAGCTTTATTTTGGTGGTATTTATTCACCGCTGGGATTTTTATTTTTTTTTACTATGTAAATGAAAAAGTCCAAAAATTTTGAAAAAAAGTGTTTTTTTTTTTTATAAAATTTTGCAAATAAATAATATTTCATCCTAAATCTTGGCCAAAATTTATTCCGTTATTTTTTTAGTAAAAAAAAAAAAAACCCAAATTAGTTTATAACCAAAAATATTAATTTTTAAACATTTTTTTTTACATTTTTATTTTATTTTTTTTTATATTATTATTTTTTAATTTTTTTTTTTTTTTTTACATACTGTCACCCTAGCAGTACAGTGTCACCATGGCGACACTGTACTACTTGTGGGGGGTGATGACGTTTTTTTTTTTTTTTTTACACAGATTGCTTTTACACCCATATAGGATGTAAAAGCAATAATTTCTCTGTCTCTCTGTGTCAGGAATCAAGGAATGACCAGAAAGGTGTGGACTGACACAGGGAAACGCAGGTTTCAGGTATAGTATAATACAGGTTATTATTAGCCACCCAGATATATATATATATAAATGCACAGTGAGCAAACTAACCTTCCACTAATCTTAGGAGGTGCAGGAACACAGGCGTAATCAGGGCTGGAGAGGTGGAATGGTCAGGCCGGCCGTAGGGTTCTGTAACGACTGCCTGGTGGTACCTCTAGCGGTCCTCAGGGCAGGATTCCCCAGGGCGCGGAGTCTAAGTCCCAGTCTGCTATTCACCAGGGCCCCTGATGGTGGGGATGGACTTGGAGCAGACAGGAACCAGGTCGCGGCCCCTGAGTACACCAGCTAGTGATAGAGGGATCCGCCAGAGGTATGTGCAGGTACGGCTGGATCCGTGCAGGATGGATGGATGGCAGAGTAGTGAGCGTGGTCAGACGGGCCAAGTCAGCAACGTGCGGGCAGCAAGGTATCAAAGGAGCAGGCAGAGAATGGTCAAGGTCACAAGCCGGGTTCAGTAACTCACGGACAGCGCAGTACAGAGGATCAGGCAGAAGGATGGTCAGGGATGAGCCAGTAGTCAGAACAGGAGACGGTCAACAGGAATCAGGATCAGGCAGGGTCGGCAACAAGGTATCTTCTCACAGGAACTAGGAACAGGATACAGGGGCTCATGGGAAAACCATACACCAAGGCCCAGAGCACAGGCCTGGTCATGCCTTATATACACCTTTCTGTAATCAGCCCCAGGTTTGGCTGATTGTGAGCTTCTGGCTGCTAAGAGCACCCGCTGGTCAGCTTTGGTACTGCAGCCCACACGGCAGGAGAGTCCCACCACCAGTGCTGAGAGCAACCGCTGGTCAGCTCTGGTACTGCAGCCCACACGGCAGGAGAGTCCCACCACCAGTGCTGAGAGCACCCGCTGGTCAGCTCTGGTACTGCAGCCCACACGGCAGGAGAGTCCCACCACCAGTGCTGAGAGCACCCGCTGGTCAGCTCTGGTACTGCAGCCCACACGGCAGGAGAGTCCCACCACCAGTGCTGAATCCATTCCTGACACTCTGTCTGCATTCTTGCAGTCATTGAGAAATACTGAGTGAGCTGTGATTGGTCACAGCTTGTCACATGGTACAAGGATGTTGTGAATAGCCTTGTACCATGTGACCTCTGTGATCATTCACAGATTTCACACGTAGTAAGCAATGATGTCACAAGTGACATCTTGCTTACTACTTTGCATGTGATCACTGAGTCGCCAATCAGTGATCACATGATCGGGACCTCGTACAGAGGTCCTGTCCGACGATCGGTGTTTCACTGTGTCCTGAGGACACAGCGGGCACCGGATCGCGGTGGTGCGCGCTCCTAGGGAGCGCGCACAGCTAGAAAAGGCGGGTGCCGTTTAGGAACGGCAACCCGCCCCTGGACTGCCACCGCCCTGCCGTTTATAAACAGCAGGCGGACGGCAAGAGGTTAATATTAAAAGAACTTCAATTGATATAATTATTTAGGATTAGAGGAATACAAAATTCTGGAATAGCTCATAATAATAATAGCTTCCTGATTATTTTTGGATATTTTAAGTGACATAGGTTAGTTGCCACATCTATTTTTATATCTACTAATTTCTCTGATCAAAATATATCATAGGGTATTAGGATAAAGTAACCTGAATAAATATTATATATACAGTGGGTATAGAAAAGAATCACCCCCCTTTTAAAAAGATCACATCATGTTGCTTTGCAGTCTGAAATAAAGACAGACACAGTTTTTGTTTTATCCAGCTGTATTTACTCAGAGCAACTTATAACATCCAAGCGAAAGATATAACACCAACATGTCAGGAAAACAAAATCAAAAACACTCATTGAGTTGGAATAAGGATCACCCCATTGTGTTAGTATTTTGTTGAACCACCTTTTGCTTTAATTACAGCCTTTAGTCTGTTGTGATATGTCTCTACTAACTTTGCAGATCTAAACTTTGCAATATTTGCCCACTCTTCTTTGCAGAACTGTTCAAGTTCTGTTAAATTTGATGGTGACCATATGTGGACTGCAGTCTTCAAGTCATCCCACAGATTTTCAATGGGGTTTAAGTTTGGGCTTTGACTAGGCCATGCAAGAACATTCACCTTTTTCCCCTTCAACTACTGTGTGGTCATTTTTGCTGTGTATTTTGGGTCATTGTAATGTTGGAAGGTAAATCTTCTTCCCATTGACAACTTTCTGGCAGAGGGCAGCAGATTTTCCTCAATAATTTGATGGTATTTTGACCCATCCATTTTCCCTTCTATCCTGACAGGTGCTCCATGCTTTACTGTAAGAATGGTGTTATTTGGATGGTGAAATTTTATTGGATTTCTGCAAGACATTTCAATTAGGTGTCCGTTTATGACAGAGAATAGTTGCGATTCAATGGATCTCAGCTATTCTCTGGTCATTCACAGTTTATGACACCCAGGAGAATATGTTCAGCCCTTCACTGGAGATCTGTGTTCTCCCTCCAGATTCTCTAGCCCAGAGCTGGATAATCGGAGGGACCGCAAACTAAGCAGAGATAATTTACCTCTGCTTAGTAAACTGATCTTTTACTGTAATCTCACGAGATTATAGTAAAATCAGCCGTTTTCCAGAGTTTGTAGACCGTTCTCCAGCGTTTGGAGACCGTTCTCCCTTCGTTCGGAGAACTGCTTCATAAACTGCATTCACAGGAGAACTGTGTTCTCCGAGAATGCCGGAGAACTGAGCAGCGATCTATTACCGCTGGTTCATAAACGGACACATTAGTGTTGAGGCCAAATCATTCAATTTTAGTCCCATCTGACCATAACACCATTTTCTATGTGGCCTCAAAATCTTCAAGGTGCATTTTGGCAAAGCTCAGTCGTGACTGAGTATGGCCTTTCTTGAGGAGTGGCTTTTTGTTTGCAACACATTTGTGGAGAGTATGTGATATTATTGTCACATGTACACAGTGACCACGCTGGCATAAATTCCTGCAACCGGTTGAAAGATCTTGTAAAAGTGATGGGCAATTGGTAGGGTGGGGGATTCCCATGCCAATTTCTCATTGAAAACATAAGACAAAGGTGCAGACTATAATTTCACGTGTTGAGTAAAGAGAAGGATGCTTTACAGTAGTGTGGGTTTTGTTAGGTAAGCAGGTTAAAAAGCATGTCAAATGTTGGTTTCTTAAAAGACAAGCTAACAATCTATTGCAAGGATGTAACTACAGACCATAGGGCTACATTTCACACATTTTATGAGGACCCCCAGCGACCCCCCTCTGTATTTCCTTGCAATGTGAACTATAAAGATGCATATTAGTTATATCAAAATAAAGTATGCCTAAATCAAGGACAGGTAGGAGGAGATCTGTCAGCATAGTCAGTACAATACTAGCCCTTTGAGGACCAAGGGACGTATTTGTCCCATGTTTTTAATTGCCTGTATCATCTGATTAAGAACTTAAAATACTTCTTTTTTTTTTTTGGTTTGAGTCAAAATATTAGTTCTTATCAACAAATGGATCTAGCTTTTTGCCAATTATTTCATGAAATGGCTTAGTTACAGCAACTGAAGTGTACGAACTTTAAAAACAAAAAATTGATTCTTTTGGCGTTCCGTAATCTTATGGTCCTCAAAGGGCTA